CACATCCCTCTCGGCTCTTCCTCCTCCTCCTCCTCCTCCTCCTGCCTCTCCCTCCAGTCTCTCCTCTTCATCTGGTTTGGCATTTCCTCCTCCAACTCTCTTCCTCCAAAGCTCTTAGTTCAGTTGGGGCTATATTAAGGCGTCAGTCCTGTCCTCGCAGCAGGAAGAATAAATCCACTGACAGATCCAACGGCAGCCTGACTGACGCTGCGGCTGCCTCCCAAACACGAACAAGAAAGGATGTTTTCATGTTGCGGGGGCTGAATCTGTTTTGAAGGGCAGCTGCTGAAGTTTAGGAGGCAGCAGCTGCAGTGAACCCCACCACCCCCACCCCACCACCCACTCACCCACCCCCCACTCGTGTTTGATGCTGCCCTACTTTCCTGCGAGTTGAGTTCTTCACAGAGTGTGTGGAGGATAAAATCCTAAAATGTCGAATCCACACTTTTCAGCAGTGTTCTCACGGCTGGTGGTAACTCTTCAGCTCTCTCTCTCTCCCTCTCTTCTCTCTCTCTCTCTCTCTCTCTCTCTCTCGCTCTCCTCGCCAGGTAAATCCCACCTGGCCATCGTCCAGAAAGTGAACAACGAGGGGGAGGAGATCCTTTCTACGAGGTGCTGGGATTGGTCACCTTGGAGGACGTCATCGAGGAGATCATCAAGTCAGAGACTCCTGGATGAATCGCGACCTTTACAGTGAGTCAGCGAACGAGACACAGATACAGATGTAAACACACCACTCCATGGTAGAAGCAGTGATGGGGGGGGGGGGGGTCTTTAAAGTCTGCACACTGTTATAAACCAGGGCTGCAAACTAACAATTATTTTCATTATCGATTAATCGGTTCGATTAGTTTTTCATTTAATTGACTAATCGATTTGTCTGTAATGACAAAAGAAATAATGAACTGTCAAAAAAATAACATCTTCAAATGTCCCAGAAGTCAAGAGACTCCGTTCACAGTAAAACAGAGAGAAGCAGCAAATCGTGACGACGCTGGAGAAACTGAGACGATGTCATTCTGTGAAGCTACAGACAGCGGCTAGTTAGCGTAGCTTAGCATAAACACTGGAAACAAGTGGAAACAGCTAGCCTGGCTTAATGCGATAAGTAAAGTTTAAAAAGGAGAAGTTGTGGTTTTAGAGGGGGTTATTGTTGACACCCTTTCTTTCTTTCTTTCTTTCTTTCTTTCTTTCTTTCTTTCTTTCTTTCTTTCTTTCTTCTTTCTTTCTTTCTTTCTTTCTTTCTTTCTCTTCTGCAGCTGATAACAGGAACAAGGAAGAGGTGGATCCCAACAAAAGCAAACGGGACTTTCTCTGCCTTCAACAACAGACAGCGACAGTAAGGTGAAGATCTCTCCTCAGCTCATGTTGGCGGCTCATCGTTTCCTGGCCACAGGTGAGCTCTGAGGGGGCGGGGGCTAATCTCACAGCTGCTCAGCAGACCAGCGATTAACCCCGGACACACGGTGACGCTGGAGTGAAGTTTCTGAAAGACCTAAATAATCTGTTGGTGTTTATCTTGTGGAAAATGTAATCTTGATTTTAAATGCACAAAGAAATTCGTTTTCCTATTTAATTGAAAAACAAACAACTAAAAAAATAATAAAATACAAGAACAAACAAACATAATTAATTAATAAAATAATAATTAATTGAAAATAATGAGAACGTGTCAGTCAGTAATGTATATATATTATTATTATAATATAATATATATACATCATACTTGAGCCTGTCACGTTCTCATTATTTTTTTGTCATTATTAGTTATTGTTAACCCCCACCACCCACTCACCCACCCCCCCACTCGTGTTTGATGCTGCCCTACTTTCCTGGCAGTTGAGTTCTTCACAGAGTGTGTGGAGGATAAAATCCTAAAATGTCGAATCCACACTTTTCAGCAGTGTTCTCACGGCTGGTGGTAACCTTCAGCTCTCTCTCTCTCCCTCTCTCTCTCTCTCTCTCTCTCTCTCTCTCTCGCTCTCCTCGCCAGGTAAATCCCACCTGGCCATCGTCCAGAAAGTGAACAACGAGGGGGAGGGAGATCCTTTCTACGAGGTGCTGGGATTGGTCACCTTGGAGGACGTCATCGAGGAGATCATCAAGTCAGAGATCCTGGATGAATCCGACCTTTACAGTGAGTCAGCGAACGAGACACAGATACAGATGTAAACACACACTCCATGGTAGAAGCAGTGATGGGGGGGGGGGGAAAAGCAATGCACAATAAAGGCTTTCTTATTTCTGTTCTATTCCTGAAAACTGACAGGCTGGGACTTTAGGAATGAGACATTGGTACGTGTTTGACGTAAAAGCATCTGAAGCTGCACCCGATGCACAGACACTTGAGCTGCACATGTTCAGTCCAATAACATGAAGCAGCAGAGAGAAGAACAGAAAACAGGTTCCGACAGAGAAGAAGAAGAAGGAAGAAGAAGAAGAGAAACATTCATCCACGTAAACGACGGTTTGAAGGCCACCCAGGAGGCGCAGAGCCACGACTTTCAATCAACTGAGTCAGTAACTTCACAACAAACCAAACAACATGCATGCTGTCGGAGCTCCGACACTGTGGCGTCTGAGCTGGATTACATCATCAACACCCTGCCACCTTCTTTTATTGTAGCAGACCACACACGACTCAACACACACCACACCACACACAACACACACACACACACTGACACACACACAACACTGACATCAACTCCTCCTGTAGGTAAAAACTCTGCATCACTGTCTGCATGTGTGTGAACTCTGTCATAATCAGAGACATGGAAAACAGCCTCTATGCTAACTGTGCGTTTGTTGTCTGTGTTCATGTTTGTGATCACGGCTCGTCTCCGTTTCCTGCCGACTGAACGCATCCACGTAACACGATCACACACTTTTAAATTCATCATCAGTGACGTGAAGATAAACATGAGCTGAAGTGTGTGAACATTATAATATATTTTGGGATTTTTAAGGGGAAAGAAAGAATGTTTGATTCCTGCCTCCGAGGAAAAAGAAGTGAAGCGTTGTCCCTAATTAAAATTACACCTTGCTTCATGGGTCTCACGACAGATTCTTTAAAAGTAGCAGCCGTGTTGTCACATACTTAGTTAACAGAACTGTACAATGGATCTATCTCCGTCAAAACAGCTGGAAATGTGACTGTAACCAAACCTTTGTTTTGTGTTGTCTGTCTTGTTTAACTGGTTCCATCTGTTGGATATGGTTTGTTTTTAATTTGCAGTTGATGTATTTGCGTGTATCATGATACTGTTGTTGGATCATCGTTTGTACGACTCATGGCGTACGGATATTCAAATAAAGAAAGTGGTCAAGAAAAAATAACACTTGGTGTTGACCTGATTACAGAGTCCGAGCCTCTGTTCCCCACGTTTACCTGTCGGCCTTCACTGTCCTGTCAAATTAAGGCATAAAAAATGTCCAAAAAAATGACTTCCAAAAGCTTTTATTGCAGATTTTCTGCAGGTTTTCTAAACTCAGCCGGCTCTAAAAAAAAACAAGATGATTAAAACATTTTTTGAAATGACACTAAAAGTCCACTGATGTAGAATGGACTTCATGGCCAAGCTCCAAAGAAACATTTTAATTAATCTGCTCTTTTTTTTTAAAGAGTAGATGAGAAAATGTCCCTCACCGTCTGTGGTTAGCCACTAGCTTTAGCGTCCCCGACTGAAGACTGAGGGGAAGGGTTATCCTGGAAGTTTTATGAGGTCGCACTGACCTTGACCTTTGACCTGTGGACCAACTGTGCCAATATGTCAATTAATCACTTTAACTAGACAGTAACTGTCCCAGATGTTTCCTCCGGTCCTCTATCCCATCCCAGAAACAGGAAGGAAAACAAACCACCAACACCGGCCATCTTTACCGCATCATGCACCAGACAGAGAGCGGTGAAGGGTTCTGTCTATTCTAATCAAACTTGCATGTCAGTCCTTTCAAAATAAAAATAGTCTCACTGCAAAACTAGAATTTTTTTTGTATTTTTGAAAGATGTTATATCGTGTTTATGTGTCTGTGTGTGTGTGTGTGTTGTGTGGTGGTGTGTTGTGTGTGTGTGTGTGTGTGTGTGTGTGTGCTTGTGTGTGTGTGTACTGTCTTACCCCAGTGGACGGTGTACTTAGAGCATGACTCCATAATATGAGAACAGGGCCGGTTTCAAACTTCATGTTTTCATTTTCCAGCTTCCCAACCTCCACTCGCCCCTGAACCACACACACACCAACACACAGCACACACACACACCACACAAACACACACACACACACAACACAACACAACACACATAACCACACACACACACACACAACACACACCACAGTACAGGAGGACATTTTGTTTAATAAGCTCATATTATCCGACAGTGCAAATTACATTCTGTGTGTTTGTGTTGCGTCCTCTCCTGCTGGCAGTAACCACCAAACACTTTGACATCCCATAAATATTACATTTCTGGCACAGGGGGGGGCGGGGGGGGGGCCACCATCCAGGGTCCAGTATTCTCTTTAGCCACACACACACCCACACACACACACACACACACACACACACAGACACAACACACACACACACAGTGGAGAGGAGCAGCTGTGCTCAAGGTTGCGATCCTGAGTGTCTGCGGTCACTTTATCCACACCTTCAAGGTGTCGAACAACAAAACCTGTGTGTTCTCTCACTCTCTCACGACACACTACACCACACACACACTACACACAACACACACACCACTCACTGAGGAGATCAAACAGTAAACAAATTAAATATAGACACCGGACACTATCTACAGTTTCCATCCAACCCTGACGTCCTGTTTGTGAACTACGGCTGGCCCAGACAGGTTCAACACAAACGCAAGAGGCACATACCAACACAAATTGTGGCTTTTGTATTTGTGGTGATCCCCTTCTGGGCCCACGCGTAGTTTATCAGACTCAAAGGTTAAATGAACAGGAACACAAAGTACGACACCTCGCATTGAGGATTTATTACAGGTGTAGTTTCAACCAGCTGTACCTAATAAAACTTGCTCAACTGAGAGTTTGTACATGCAGCTAAATCACATAGTACCGTTTTCTGAAAATCATTGTCTGCAAAGAGTTTATAATAAAAAATAATAATAGCATTTAAATTTATAGGCGCCTTCAAGGACGCTAAGACGCCACAGTAAATAATAATATGCAGAGACATAAGATACAGAATAAAGGAGAATAAATATAATAACATAAAAATAAATTGATGAAACTGGTGGTACTTGGAGGTTTAACAGAACTGGCAACGTTTGAAGAGGTGTTTATAACTGTAATTAATGGAAGTTTATTAATGACTAACAATTCAATTACTCATTCTTTAATAGGTTCAGTTATAAGTTATTAATAAGAGCTCATTTTGGGTTGCCAGTTGTGGAAAATGCCTCCTCCAGCGCACTGAACACTTGAATCTTTCCAGCTCTTTAGTTTCATTAGAGCGGCAGTTTTGACCGTTTGTTTAATCTTCTGACAATAAAAAAACATTAATAAACTGTTTATCAACATTATTGTGTATTTACTTCATGTCAACGTTAAAAACTCTTTATTCTCTTTATTGCCTTATTTCATTGAGGGCAGTTTTAGACGACGATAATGCAGCTCTGTAACTAATCACTGTATTTATGGGTTTTATTCATATTTTATTTCATGTTGATCGAATCTTCTATTTTCTTCCATGTGACTGATTTCCATTCTGCGTTTTTATTGATTTTTTTATTGACTGTTTGTGCCTCGTTTACCTGGCTGATACATATTTAAAAAGTACATGTAAGTACCTTACGTTGTGTGTGTGTGCTGTGTGTGTGTGTGTGTGTGTGTGTGTGTGTTGTGTTTCAGCGTCCTCCTCCCTGCCTCTTTGTTCTCCTCCTCTCTTCCTGGTGAGAGAGGGATTTACTGACTGACAGAGTCTCTTCTCTCACCTCTTCTTCTCTTCCCTCATCTCTTACTTCGTCCTCTACATCCCTCTGCCCTCTCTTTTCCGTCTCATCGTTCGCCCCTCTCCTCATCATCCTGCTTTTTCCCTCTGTCCCATCCTCCTTAACCTTCGATCCCTCTCCCTCTTATGTAAGAGGATGTATTAGTGGAAGGTCGAGCAGCGTGAGGAGGAGCCCCTTTGACACGGGGGGGGTGGGGGGGGGGGGGGGGGCATCCACCAGACGGAGACAAAGACCGACTCATTATACTGTAATTATAATCCTGGATCAGTCGTCTTCTATTATTCTATGCTTTGAATGTTTATTAACAGAGACATATTTGATTTATTCCTCTATAATCTTTCAAGGACGTTTTTATTTTTGAAAACTTTCCTGCTTCCTGTGCTTAACACTAGAGATACACATATTTCAGCATCCTTGAGTCCACGTGGACATTTGTGCCAGAATGTGCTGAAATTCTCTCCAGCTGTTCCTGACATAAATGGGACGAAGGTGAGGTAGCAGTGGCCTTGACCTTTGACCTTTGACCACCAAATTCTAAATCAGTTCATCCTCGAGTCTGAGTGAATGTTTCTAAAAAAATGAAGAAATTCCTCAACGTGTTACTGAGAACTGACTCAAAACCTCCTCAGTGGTGGTGTGACCAGGAGCTCATTTTAATAGATATTCAAGTTATGATGATCAATCACTTTGTAATCAGAATCAGAATCAGGTTTTCACATACGAGGAATTTACTTTGGTGTTTCAGTCCAAAACAATAAACGTAAAAGAAGAAAAAGAAATAAAGAAAGATGAAGCAAAGGTCAGAGAGCTTAAATATATAAACAGAAACATTTTAGAATAAAAATGGATTCCCTGAACGTGATCGGTAAAATTAATGTAAAAGAACAAAGACGTCCAGTGATTCTTTAATCACCTTCAGTCAGGCGATTCTTAAAAAGGTCGACGCGTTTAGCACCTGCATGTGAGTTAATACCGCCTCCAGACTGACGCAGCGACCTGGAATAAACCTGTGTTTGTCACCAGTTTAAAAAACAGGTCAACCTGCGTTATCCAATCGGACTCCATTAGGACCCGGCCACGGACACGTTAAAGACGGGAACCAGCTGCTCCGATCTTAATCTACACTCAGTATGAGCAAAACATGAATGTATTATCTAACA